AAAAACCCAGTTATTGATACTCTGAATCCGTCATAAAAATATAGTTTACTTGGGAAGGTTATTTACAAATAAAAATATGTATTTGGGGATTTAAAATAAATGTCTTTATTAATATTGTTAATTTTTTTCTCCATTTGCATTTGTTCCTACCATTTGTTTTTAATTTTTTATTAAGGGATGGGATTAAAAATTGACCTTTTTTGATTGGAATGTATAAATTGCATGTTTAAGTAAAGATGTAATTCCTCTTTCCCTTGACTGTTCAAAATGCATTAATCATGAATTGAGTATCTGCTGTCATTGTACAGTTACTATATTTTTGTTTGAATAATAAAAATAAAGAATTTATTTTTGCTGGAAAAAATGTACCTACTTTTTCTATGATAACTAACATTGTAATAACACTTAATTTTGACATTTGAAAATGAATATTCATGTCCTCCCTTTAAAAAAAAAAAAAAAGACACTAGTTTCTTTAGTAGTTCAGCAGGGAAATAAACTTTTTAAACATCACATCATAAATATTCTATTGTGTGATTATCAAATAGGAATTCAAAATTTTATTTTCCATGTTTGAAGTATGCAGGAAAAACAAGGCTTGGATCATCCTCCCTGTTTATGTGTAGAGAGTACTTCTGCACAGACTGTCCAGGGAGGACTATTTTTATGCCACCTGGAAAGGCATTTCCGAAAGATCTTCAGTCTTGGTAGGTGCCTTATGAGTAATAGTTAGGCAGCTGGTAGAAGGATTCACTTATATAAACAGAAGCAGCCACACACTACTTTCAGGCCAACCCACTTAAAAATGGGTTCTTAAAGTCTGGCAAACATGAGATTCTTGAATCACTTAGTGAGAGGTATTCAGTAAAGTTAATTAAGAATTACTTTAAAGCTGAGATTAAGCAGATTTTAAGATTACTGAAATGTTTGTTACTACTTTGTCTAAACTACTGTGGTACAGGTATTCCTCAACTTACAGCCATTCATTTAGTAACTATTTGAAGTTACAATGGCACTGAAAAAAAGTGATTTTAAACCCCTTTTCACTCTTACTACCATTGTAGCATTCCTCAAGGTCATGTGATCAAAATTTGGGCGCTTAGCAACTGGCATGTATTTATGACACTTGCAGTGTTCCTTCTGACAAGCAAAGTCAATGGGAAAGTCAGATTCACTTAACAACCGCAGCGATTTTTTTAACAATTGTGGGAAGAAAAGTCATAAAATGGAACAAAACTCACCTAACATCCTTCTTGCTTATCAGCGGAAATTTTGAGCTCAATTTTGGTCATAAGTTGAGGACTACCTGTATTTTAGTAAGATTTCCACAGAGACAATTAAAACAAAATACACACTTCAGTTTTGGCCTACTCCTTAATTTCAAATATTATGTTTAGGCAGTGTTGCTACATGATCCTGTAATGAAGAACAACTTAGGATGTTGCATATAGTTTTATTAGGTTGCTACAAATAAACAGTGTAATTTAGATTGCACTAAAAATATGAAATGCTGGCTTACGTTGCATTCTTCAAGGGAATATATTTTGGATATAAGAGAAATATTTCAGGCAATGCATGACCACACATTACAAGAAATGAGCTATAGTCAAATGATGCCAGAAATATTTTAAGAATTAAATCCAGTGGTATTTGTCTGCTGGGGAAATTAATCCCTTCTCCAAATCTTCTGTAGAAGATTACAGGATGGATCGTCTAAAGCAAATAAGAACATGCACATTGGGTGCAACTGGAGGAGGAGAAGGAGAAGAAAGAAAATGCTTTGTTTGAATTAAAAAGTAGTCATTAGATTTGCCTCTACCAAAGTTAACTTCTATAAAATATTTTTGTACCTTTTGTACAAAAGTTCTTTTGTAACTTTTTAGAGTTACACAGTCACAAAAATAATATAGTGCTGTCCAATTAGAATGAATTTCCTATAGAACAGCTATATATTAAAATATATTACTGATTTAAAGTTTTAATGCATTTTTTTAAACCAAACAACAGTCTCCACCCTGAACTACATTCTTAGTTCAACCAATATACATTGGTACCTCAGTACTCATCCTTAATTGGTTCCGAGAGTTGCGATGAGTACAAAAAACAAGTAGCAAACAATTTTTTCCCATAAGGAATAATGTAGTGAGTTACAAGGCAGCCAAGATTGTCAAGTTCTAGCTTGTGCATTGAGTACCAAACAAACAGTGAGTACCGGGACAAAACGCTCATGTCAGAATGCTTTGAGTACTAAATTCAATGAGTTTCAAAGCAGTTGAGTACCAAGGTACCACCGTATATGATCCCAAATTTACTATCTTCTAGAGGTTTTATGCAGGACTAATGTATCTTGACTATATTATTGTGTACTTTTACTGAGGTTTAACTATTTTGTTATTTTTGTCAGCCAATTGAGAATGCACAGTAAACCTGAAATGCTAACAAGTAATACATAAATATGTAAAATAATAAAGTATAGCACCCTATTGTAAAATGTAGTTACTATCCCCTATATTTCCTCTTGAAGCTCCTAAAGGAAAAACAGTAAAGTATATTACTGAAATTAATACAAGTATATACTATTAAAAGCTTCCCATGTATGAAGACATTGGCATAAGTCTGATGATTTAACCACAGCACAGTGATTTTTCAGGGGAAGGCATACTGTTGAATCAAACTGAGCTTGGAAATGCCCTACAATAATGTTTTCTTATTTTAAGCTAAATATTTACATCTATGCCTAGTATCTCAGGAGATGGCAGCACATGTCCAATTTTGTTTATCCCCTAAAGTTACTTCCATGTGGGGCTCACAATAAGTATTTTGATAGGAGACTTCTGAGAAATCACAGGGTTATAACTTAGATCAGGATTTTTTTTAAAAATTGGCGGGGCGTGAAAAATACTTGAAGAAGACAGCAGCAAACTATCTCCATGTTGCCAAGAAAACTTGGTGGATATTTATTTCTGTGAAGAAATCGGGAATCAGCCTTTTGCTTTTTAAAAGTTAAACACATCATCAGGCTTTTTCTAATTTTGTCTGCCCAATACACTAGAACATTAGCATCTATTATTTTTAAGTTAGGTTTTCTTTTTAACATAGTAATTATTAATTTAGAAATCATCTCATAATTAAAATGTTAGAAGCAGTCTGTATTCTTACAGGAGTAGAGTTTTCTTTTCAGATGGAAAATTAACTTAGATTTGATTAAGTACTAAATATGTCATGAACTAGATTCTGAAAGTCTCGATCTTCAAATTATAAGTCAGAGTCTTGTGAGTTTAAAGTTCTTGGCAAGTTTTTTTTTTAACAATTTTGTTTATATAAACTAATTGGGGTGCTTTATCTTGCCAGACACAATAATAAAGCTACTCATCCATGCAAATATAGATTCAATATTTTGGTATCACAACCATAATCATTATTTTATATTTTTATTCCTCTTTGTCTTCTTACATAAAATGGGATTGCAGTATATCTTTTTGGTATAGCACTTAGGTTTGGGTGAATAGTATAACACCAGCAAAGCATGTATTTTGCAGAGGCTGCTCATATTCATATGTCTACGTTTTTAACATATACTATCTGTTCCAACAAAATGTATAACTTAACATTTTCTTAATGTTCATAGTGTTAGTATGTCAAAGCGTTAATGTTTAATGTGTACTGGGCATATTTTCTAATTTAGCAAATAGCACAAGTATTACTTTTTTAAAAGATGCCTGGTTAGAATTAGTGATAGTTTCAGGTTTTCAGTGTTGAGTGTCTACCATTCTTTTGTTCAATTTTACTTTGTGGCTCACAGTGCACAGCTATTGCCTCCTGGGTAATAACAGAGTCCCCATTGAAAAGAGTAACATAACGTGTATATATTTTTCGTAGAATTGTCTTCAAGAGATTTATATTGTGTCATTTCTAAACTGTTTATCATGTTAAAAATCGTAGACATGTTTAACGTTCCTATACTTTTTCCTTATTTCCCCTATTAACACTTAAAAGACATCACTTCGTTTAGACATTGTTATCTAATAGAATCTGTTAGTCTTGGCATGCTGCTGACATTAGTGCCAAAAAAAAGTCTTAATGGTATATTTTGAGTTCATATAATCAGCCATTCTATACTTTTTTTAAAAAAAATGATAAAATCTGAAATAATGCTTAATGCTTTCTGTTTGTAAAAAAAAAGAGTGACTGCTGTTTTACATGTTAAAATAAACTATGTAAATAAAATGTTTTGCTATATTTACTGTCTTTAGTTTGTGAGAGTAGAGATGGAAATTTTGCTTTTCTCCTCTCACAAGAAATTTGTCTTCATAATGAATTTTCAAGTATTACTGCTATCTTTTATTAGACCACATTTTTCTTAACATTTTATAATAGAGTTGTATAAAATTTTCTGGTGAAGAGGAGGCATATATAGTACAGCTTTTTCAGACACATTCATATATACTTAAGAACATAAGCAGAGCAGCCCTAACTATCCTTCCAGAAATAAGTAACAGTTGAGTTACCTCAGCTTTCTAATTTTCCCCCAAAGGGGAAAAATACATTTTTGATATAAACTTAAATATCAAAAAGCAGCCAAAGTCTGAAAGCAAAATGTTATTTTTTTTGTGTGAAAATACCTTGGGTGATTTATGTGCAACACAAACTTGAGCAAATAATGTAGTAAATTCCTATAGGCAATTCCAGGTGTTACCCATTAAATGCAAAACATCATTTTTCTTTGTTTACTGCCTTTAAAATTACATGGAAGGTAGACACAATGAAAGATATGCTGGGAAATGAATTATTGAGGCTTTGCCTCAACAACTTACACTAATTAATAAAGTTCATTGTAAAAATATTTTATTTTGTAAAATAAGTAAGCAAATAGGTTCAAATGTTCAGTGTGTGCTAGAAGTATCAGGGCTGTGCCTTTGGATTTCAGTGGCTTAATCATAAAATGATTCATGGTCAAAAGCATTGCCATGCAGTAATCTTTTATTGTTCTTTTCCCACAGAAATGCCCCCCAAAATTAAGAAAAAAGGACATCCTAGTCGAGAACAAAAGAAGGTACGTCATAATACAGATTTTTGAAGGGGTAAATTAACATGTTGATTCGGCATTCCACAAATTTGTTTTTAAACAAACTGTTTTTAGGCCCTACTGAAAGGAAAAGGAAGAGCTGCATTCACTTTAATTATTTAGGCTTCCTTGCATTAGGAATAGATTGTACCTCCATTATATCCAGGGCTTTGGTTCTAAAACTTTTGATTATTTCTGCTCTTAGACATGGTCACAGGCAAGCATTTGCTTACTGTTGGAACTAAGTTTCCAATTCTGTGTTAGCACAAGAATAGATAAAGGGAATATCGTTTTTTTTGTTTTTTTTAAGTTGTTACATTTGCCATTTAGAAGACCTACCTGGGTCTTCACAAGGCCTTTGTGGCAAAGGAGACTGAGACATCTTGCTTCATCACTCTTGACGTCTTTTATTTGTATTGATTTTGCTGTACTTTTGCTTGTTCTAAGCAGTCTAGAGTTGAGAGTCAGTTGGTGTACTAGGCTGCTCACACAGTCAGATGTTTAAACTGGATTTGGCATTTTTGGCCATCTACTGAATCATTCCTGAGGACCCAGGATAGGCAGAGGTTGCCATTTGATAGTGTTAAAGATATTGTCACAGAAGTAAAGCTGCCATTTGCAATTGACTGATGGTCATTTGATTAGTGCCAATAGTGTACAAGTGATGTTCCATTGTATCCCAAAGATGCTTTTTCAAGAGGCAACTGAACTTTCTTGTTTTTCTTTGAATACGTTTCGCTTTTCACCCAAGAAGCTTCTTCAGCTCTGACTGGATGGTGGGGAATGGAAAGATTTATACTCCTTGCAGGCAGCTGGTCATTTGCAATCTTTAAGCAAGTCATTAGTGCTAACTGGAGTCTTATCTGTGTTGTCAGAGTCACCTGAGTAGTGCAAATGCGTATGGAGCTTTCTTGGAACTCTTGAAAGGACTTTGTTGTAGACTGACGATTGATGATGTTGTATCCCTCCCCCTCTGTTGAGAGAGGGCTGTTCAATTTGACATAGATGGCCTCTTTGACCCCGTTTTCAAACCAGCGATCCTCTTTGTCCAAAATGTGGACTTTGCTATCTTCGAAAGAGTGGCCTTTGTCTATCTCCAGTGTACAATACAAGAAGTTAAATGTTGAATTAATACACGTGTCTTGCCTTTCACAGCAGAATCCATCCGTTGCTTCCAACTGCTGAAACTAGTATTGATTGTCAAGTTGNTTGGTTATTCCAGCTTGCAGGACTGGCCTAGGGTAATTTTTAGGGGGGTTTTAATTATATTTTAAAATTCGACAATTATTTAAATATTCCTTTTAATTAATTTTAAATTTGTATTGTTTTGTATGTATTTTAAATAGATTGTCAGCCGCCCTGAGTCCTACGGGAGAAGGGCGGGATATAAATCCAAAAAATAAATAAAATAAAATAAATAAATAAATCTACTGAATCATTCCTGAGGACCCAGGATAGGCAGAGGTTGCCATTTGATAGTGTTAAAGATATTGTCACAGAAGTAAAGCTGCCATTTGCAATTGACTGATGGTCATTTGATTAGTGCCAATAGTGTACAAGTGATGTTCCATTGTATCCCAAAGATGCTTTTTCAAGAGGCAACTGAACTTCCTTGTTTTTCTTTGAATACGTTTCGCTTTTCACCCAAGAAGCTTCTTCAGCTCTGACTGGATGGTGGGGAATGGAAAGATTTATACTCCTTGCAGGTAGCTGGTCATTTGCAATCTTTAAGCAAGTCATTAGTGCTACCTGGAGTCTTATCTGTGTTGTCAGGGTCACCTGAGTAGTGCAAATGCGTATGGAGCTTTCTTGGAACTCTTGAAAGGACTTTGTTGTAGACTGACGATTGATGATGTTGTATCCCTCCTTCTCTGTTGAGAGAGGGCTGTTCAATTTTGACATAGATGGCCTCTTTGACCCCGTTTTCAAACCAGCGATCCTCTTTGTCCAAAATGTGGACTTTGCTGTCTTCGAAAGAGTGGCCTTTGTCTATCTCCAGTGTACAATACAAGAAGTTAAATGTTTAATTAATACACGTGTCTTGCCTTTCACAGCAGAATCCATCCGTTGTTTTGTTGCTTCCAACTGCTGAAATTAGTATTGATTGTCAAGTTGGTTCAACATTAAACTTATACTATCATTTATATATGGACCTGGATGTTCCCCCCTAAATGTATATAAAATATACAGGGGTTGTATATTGTGTATAAATATATATTGGTTTCACATGGTTTTCTACCAGATCTCCAGTCCCCATTCAGTTCATTTTCTCTGATTGCAAAGAATTAGTTAAGTATTCATATTTGCAAAACCCGCATAAGTTGATGAAATGTATAGAAAAGAGCCCTTGGCGAAAGGGAGAAGTTGCAAGGAAAAAACCCTTTTTCCACTATTAATTTCCTGTGCAAAAAATGGCTCATTCCAAAACTGCTTTGCACTGATTGTAGGACCGGATTTTTTCTTGCAGCATCACCATCATCACCATCCACAGGTGCAGCAGCAACAGCAGCAGGTGCAACCACCGCAGTTACCACCACCGCCACCTCCATCTGCCCCTCAGCAAGCAGCCATCTCAGTCAAGTCTTCTCCTCCAGCTTTTGTTCCGACGCAGATCCCAGTTATGGAGCATCCACTCCCAGGGAACATGTTTGACACTATTTCACATTTCACTCAGCCTATTCTGCACCTTCCCCCACCTGAGATGCCACCTCATCTCCCCCAGCAGCCTGAGCACAGCACTCCTCCTCACTTAAATCAACATACAGTAGTGTCCCCTCCAGGTAAACCATTTTTAGGTGCATTAGAACCTGTATGTTGAATTTGTGAGAACTAGTAATCCACCTCTTCTTACATCATTCTTTCCCAGTGGAGCTTTGCAGTAAATGAGCACCAGCGTATATAAGCAGAGACAAGATGGAAAGGGTGGGATTTGCTGTCCAGGCTTGCATGTTTTACAATCATAATTGATGTTATGAAGGGTGTCACTCCTCTGATTGTAATTCTATCGGTGGAGCAAAGACAAAATTTTGAGAAGTTAGAATGGACTGCATTATTCCAAATGGGGAATAACATCTATTTAATGTCACCTTATGTTAAATGTACTCAAGTAGAAATGTAGTATGAAGGGAATAGTTAGGGAGGGGGAGGGGGGAAGTCCTTCTTAGAAATAGTTTATAATACGTCCTACAGTTTTACTCCAAAACGAGTTATCTAGTTCTCAGCTGCTTCTACAGATTTTGCCTTGACTCTTGGAATAAGAGTCTTTTGAAATAATGCAATCGTAATTTTAACTGTGTAGCTGAACAAATAAAAATAAATTGATGATGATGATGATGATGATACCACGGGTCCTGTTGCACAATATTTAATGTAACATTACTGTTTTCTCCTCAGCTTTGCACAATGCTCTGCCTCAGCAACCCTCAAGACCCAGTAATCGAGCCGCAGCACTCCCCCCCAAACCTCCTCGGCCTCCGGCTGTGTCACCGGCTCTTAACCAGCAGGCTCTGCTTCCCCAGCCCCCCCTCCCCCAGCCTCCCCAGGTGCTTCTGGAGGACGAAGAGCCTCCTGCTCCTCACCACAACCTGCCGCTGAGCAATAGTCAGATGCAGCTCTACTTGCAGCAGTTGCAGAAGGCGCAGCCACAGACTTCTCTCCTCCCTTCAGTGAAAGTTCAGTCGCAGCCTCAGCCCTCCCTGCAACCTCCTCCTCACCCTCCCGGGCAACAATTACCACATCAGTCACAACAGAGGCCAGTACATATGCAGTCCATGCAATTTCCACCCCATATTCCACAGCCTCCACCACCGCCCCAGCCACATCTGCCCCCTCAGCAGCCTCAAGCCCCACAGCAATCGTCAAAGCCCCAGCAAGTCATCCAGCACCACTCTCCACCAAGACATCACAAGCCAGACCCCTACTCAGCAGGTGAGTGGTTTGAGCATGAAGCATGGCGGCTGAATGGAGGGGTTGTTGTTAGGTGCTTACCATCTGGACAGGTGAATGGAAGTCACAACGGTGATTTAAAACTTGTGGGAAATTGCTTGTTGCCTTTAAAAGAGGAAATGGAGTAAAGTAAGTGAAAGGAACCTGGGTTTTTCTGACGAGAATTATTCCCCTTTCTCTTAAGATCATCTGTTTGTTTGTTTGTTTATTCAGTTGATATTCCACTTCCATATTCAAGATGGTTGATTGCATAAAATACGAAACCTAAAAACTTGCTGAAGGCATGGCTTTCAATAGATTATTTTCTACGATATTTTCATGTTAACCAAAAACTCAAAATTTTGCTAACGTACACTTTATTTTCTACCTCTCCATAAGCTCGTAGGAGTGGAGTTCAACATGCAATCCAGAGTCCAAAATAAGAGGTGTACAGTGTGCACAAATTTGCATTTGCATTCAAGCCAGTGCAGCATTATTTTTTGGTTCAGACCTTCACTTGAATATGTGGAAGTTTGGAGACAGAAAACACAGCACAGCTTTTCCTCCCATTCTCTTCTCTGTTCTGGTTTTGCATGCATTCAGCTAAATCCCTGAAGAGAAAAAATATGCTTGGTGTTCGTTGTCCAGTGAACATTCTTCATTTGTTTCTCCCCTATCCTTCACTTGGCCTTGCTTTATAAATTCCAAAAATGGCTATTTATATCCAATTATGTTTGTAGTGCAATAGAATACTCTTTAGTGGCTTATATTTTTAGATTTCATTTCGGTGCCTTGTCCCTCTTTGTGGACTCACTTTATTTGGAAAAGCTACCTATAAAAGGTATAAGCAAATGATGTTTTTGCCTCTTCAATTTCCTGTTCAGTGGTATTACAGAATTAAGTTGCTGTAAGGGGCTGTTTAGGCTACTAAGTCTGTCCCTCGTTCTGTGGTCCAGTTCAGAGTGATCCAGTATCTGCTAAACATCTCGGATAAAAGAGACTTTACCACATCTTTGGGTAATTGGTCCCATTGTCAAACAACTCTTATTGTTTGTTTGTTTTTAATAGTCAAGTGGAATAGTGGATATACATGTAAAATGTTTTATTTTTTTCTCAGGCCTTTAGTGCAGACATGTCAAACACAAGGCCCGGGGGCCGGATGCGGCTCGCGAAGTAGTTTCATGTGGCTCGCGAAGCCATCCTGGAAACAGTGAGGGAACAGCCTCCGCTGCCTTGGCCCTGGCCCAGGCCGGCCGGGAGCCAATGTACAATTTTGTGGTGGCCATCTATGCTGAAACACCTTCAGTCTTAGCTCCACAAAGCCGTCTAGAAACAGCGAGGAACCAGCCCCTGCCGTGTTGGCCCCACCCCCTGGGTGCATGCTGGGGAGGTGTCACCCTTTGTGAGGAATGAAGAAATGGACCATGCCTTGGCGCTTGCCCCAGTCCCACCCCCTTCTGCCAGAGACCCTCAGATCTGTCCCACTCCTGCCCAGGCCCCCACAGGCACCCTTGACGCGAACGATGTAGAGCTGGCCATGCCCACCCAGTAGGCCACACTCACCCTGGCCACATCCACCCTGGCCACACCCACCCGGCCCCCCCGAGGGCAACCGCAATGCTGATGTGGCCCTCAATGAAATTGAGTTTGACACCCCTGCTTTAGTGTATGAAATTTCTGCTTAATCTTTTTGGGTCAGGTACATTTTGGCAGAGATAAGTCCCAGAACTTCTAAATTCTTCTCAGTTTCAGATGAAGCTGAATCTAGAGAAATCTTAGAATGGTTTTGTTTGACAAGTAGAAAATTCTGGTGTGCATTCTTCCTCCTCTTAAGGAGCTCCCTTGTGTGGGTACGTTCCACTTCTGTGACCCGCACGTGGTATTTCCCTTCCCTTGCTTGTCTTCGGTCCCTGCTGTCTCCACTGGCCCAGTCTAACCATCCCTGATCTTCCTAGCACCTTCCCTTTCCTTCACTTCTGATCCACTGCTTAATGTCTTAGTGCAATGGATTTTCCCCACCCTGACCTTTCCGGGTCTTCCCTCCCTTCCTACCACTGTTGATGTACTGTCCTGTGTATTTGTTCCTTAGTGCAGTAATCTTTGCAGTAAATTGTGATTCCCGGCCTGGCATATTCCATCCCAGCTTAGGCCATCCCTGATTTTCCCAGTTCCTTTTGCTGTACCCCAGCCTCTACTGTCTGTGTTGTCAGCTTGCTCTCACTTTCTCTGACTCCTTCCCAGTCAACTGCCTGGACCGCTAGACTTTTAGCCCAGGGCTTCCACAAAATAGCCCCGTTTTTATTCCGTGCGTGAATATCTTGAATGGAATTTGTACTGTTCAAGAAGTGACTATAACCTTTTTGACCTTGCATTCTATAATAGTCACTTTTGTACCGCTCTTCTTCAAATTACTGTTAAACTGACATTTCCTCATTTACAGCTCTGCAAATGAAAAGCACTGAGCGTAAATAGGTGTTTCAATGAGCAAATCTCAGATAACTCTTTCTCTCCAAGTTGCCAGCTGAATATCATAAGTGCATTTTCCAGAGTTTTTTATTATTATTATTATTTTCTAAAAACATTGGTGCTGACTTATTCCAGGCCACTTGAGAGAAGCACCTTCCCCTCTCATGATGCATTCCCCTCAGATGCCATCGTTCCAGGGGTTGCCGCACCAGTCTCCACCGCAATCAAACGTTCAGCCAAAAAAGCAGGTAAAGGCATCTTATAAACAAACGTTTATTCAGATGTTTGTTTCCGTAAACATTTTTTCCAGCATCCATTAGAAAGCAGATTCCTTCAAGAACTTGTATTGGTGGGGAGGCTCAGACAATACAGGGAAAGCTATGAAAAGGCATTATTATTATGGGCTTTTGTTTGTCTTTCTTTGGCAGGAACTGAGAGCAGCTTCCGTAGTTCAGTCGCAGCCTATGGGCAAAGAGGAGAAGATGCAATCCCCAGTCATTCGAAATGAGACCTTTAGCCCTGCCTTGCGGCAAGACCCTACCAAACACCCCGAAAGCATCAAGCCACCTGTACATATCCAACAACGTGAGTGATTTATCGCTTTGTCTAAGAACTCCATGTGTTTTGTAGTGATTTAGTTTACATTAAGCGGGGAGGGGGGGAAACAGCCCAATTCTTCATTTTCAGGATGTTTTTTTTCATAACGCTGACTAGACGAAAGGTTATTACAGTTGCAGTTCTTTTTTCAGGAACAGAAATTAAGACCGTGGACAGTGGACGGCCTGTTATAAGACCTTCAGAACAAAATGCACCACCAGGAGTCCAGGACAAAGAGAGACAGAAACAGGAACCAAAAACACCAGTAGCACCTAAAAAGGTAACTGAATTATATATTGTTTGATAGGAAGAAAGCAGAAATGGCTGTTAAGATTTGTCCACTTTGTGTTACAATGAACCCTCATAGCATCTTTAATATTCTCTAAATTTCTAGTGTGCCTTTAGAAGTCTAGTGATCAATATCAAATCTTTAATTGAACTATGATAATTCTGCATCCTAACAAAGAAGGATGTTATTGTCTGAAGTGTTTATATAGAAATATTAGCAATAGCACTTAGACTTATATACCACTTCATAGTGTTTTACAGCTCTCTCTAAGCAACTTACACAGTCAGAATATTGCCCCAACAATCTGGGTCCTCATTTTACCGACCCATGTCGCTTTTAATTTCCTGAATTATAGGTTACACTTACTATTTATCTACTTGTTGATTAGCTGCAATCAGTTGGGTGTAGATCAGTACACAATAGTAGCAGTTGGTTTTCTTTTCATTGACTTCATTCATTATGCATTGTTTAAAATGCAATTTTATAACATTTAGATTAATTCCAAGATATATTTGAGGGTCAGCTAACAAAATGTTTGCTTCAATTTGACTTTTATCTTTTGTTTTCTAAATACTGTCTCAAAAATCGCCATTTTAATAGTTGGGGAAATCCGGGAATATTGTTTTCCTTGCTTATTTATATTCACGTACAACTTTAGTTTAGCCTTGAATGTACAAAACAACTGCTAGGATTGTCTGTACTGAATATATTCCCAACCTCACCACCCATAAGAAATAGCTAATTTAACTCTGCAACACAATTTTTGATGCAAAAGGCATCCAGTACAATACATTGGCATTCAAGCTCCTTTTTTGCCTGCCTTAGAAATGGGTATTTGTAATTAGTTGGTTCCAGCCTAGGTTAGCTTGGAGGGGTTTTGTCTGTAAGCTACAAGCTAAATTTCTATGGAGATTCTCAGTCATTGAAAAAGCATCTTTGGGACTACCAGCTAAATTACTTTTATCTCTTACTTGAAGGCAAGGGGACATTCTGATTTTTCATGTGCACCAATTAAACCATGTTTACAAGTTAATTACTAATCCTGCACTTCTTTTCTCCACAGGATTTGAAAATAAAAAATATGGGATCTTGGGCAAGTTTAGTGCAGAAACATCCCACCACACCATCTTCAACAGTAAAATCCAGCAGTGATAGCTTTGAGCACTTCAAGAGGGCCGCCCGGGAAAAGGAGGAGCGTGAGAAAGCCTTGAAAGCTCAGGCTGAACAAGCAGAGAAGGAAAAGGAGAGGCAAAGGCGGGAACAGGAAAGAATGAGGTGAGAAACATAATTAGTTGAGATGGGGGGTGGGGGTGTTTATTTTCTTCCATTGTGTTTGTGTGAGAGAGAAAGTACTTTATGTTATCCTTAAAGTCTCTGCAAGCACATGTTATGGGATGAAAGCATTTGGGAGGATTTTAAGATTAATTCTGAGCCTTCCCTCTAGAAAACTCTAATAAACAAAGAAAACCTTGTTGTGATAACAGTAAAATAGGTGACCTGCGATTGGGCCCGTTGGTATAGTGTCAGCCTCTTTGACAGAGGCTGTGTTGCTCCCAGCCTCTAAAGAGTTATTGGTGTGGAGGCTGTCCTTGGACCCAATGATCTCTGATAACTATTGACCAATCTCCAACTTTCTCTTTCTGGGATAGGTTGTTGAGAAGGTGGCTGTTCCATAGCCGATGAGAACTCTGGATACAGATCTGTTTCAGTCAGGTTTCAGGCTGTGATTTAGTACTGATACCACTTTGATCATGCTTGTAGATGTGATGGGGCTGGGATGGCAGTGGTGCATCCATTCTTGTGCTCCTTGATGTTTTAGTGTCTCTTGTGCTGTCAGCCATGGTGTCTTCTGAGCTGGCTTTGTGGCTTGAGGATTGGGACCCTTTTTACAATGGTTCTCTTCCTTCCTCAGCCAGGTTCCAGTCAGTGTTGGATGATGGGTAGAGATTATTCCCTAGACCCCTCATTTGTGGGGTGTTGCAGGCTAATTTCTCTCCCTTCCTTTTTAACATCTTCATGAAACCGCTGGATGAGGACATCTGCCAGTTTGAGGCTTATGGTCATTGTATCTTTATATCTTTTGATGCCAGGCTAACCAAGTGAGGCTATTGAGGTTGTGTTCCAGTGCCTGAAGGCTGTGCAGTTCGTGCCATGGTCAACTCACAGCTTAACCGCTTAATGTGCTATACATAGAGCTGCCCTTGAAAACCACCCAAAAGCATCAGCTGGTTGAGAACTGCAGGGCAGGCAATGATGAGCATACCTTGGTATGCCCATGTAACACCTCTGCTTTGCAAGCAGCTTTGGAAGCAGTACTGGTTGCCAGTTTGTTTCCTGATGTGATTCAAAATGCTGGTTACCATTTATAATGCCTTACATGACACCATATAACTTGCCTGGTTACTGGCCAAAGCATCTGGTTTGATGTGGCAGGATTCCTTTGATTAAACAATATTATCTGGTTGGCTGGATCCTGGAAGCACGCCTTGTTTGTAGCAGTACCTGCCTTCTGGACTGGGAATTCCCTCTGAGATTCAAACAGGCCCCACCCTACTGGTATTTTGAAGGGCTATGAAGGCATAGGTCCTTGCCCAGGTGTTTGGTGAAGTTGACTGAAGATCTTTTCTTTTTTTTCCCCCTTTGTTCCTATCAGGGTTTGCTTCCTCTGCCATCTTTGTTCCTTTTGCTTTATGTTGTCATTGTGATTTTTGTGATGTTTCTTTGTTTTTAAATATTTTTAACCATTTGTAAACTGCCCAGAGTAGCTGGGAATCAGGCAGCATATAAATTTAATTTAACACATGTGAAGGTTTGGAACAGAATTCGTTCTTTCCTTGCCATTTGACAGGGACTATAGCTAACAGCTTTTGAGGTTTGGTGATAAAAATAAAAGGCATAACTGATAGAAGACAGTGCAGGAAGAAGGAATCAAGGGAAGCTATTGATCTCAAGGACTACAATACTTCTTTTCTTATTAATTTAATTTTAAAAACATTGCCAGTTAAATTGTTTTTATTTTGGTCTCTTTTTTTCCCCACCCTGTTTGTTATCTTGGCATCTTTACCCTTCTTTTGTTTCTTGTCGTTTTTATTGTCTTGTTTTTTATGTTTTAAATCATTTGTAAAATACAAGAGTGTCTGGGAGTCAGGTGGCATATGAATTTAATTTTAAAAAATAGTCTCAAACTATACTGGACATAAGCTCATTCTTTTTGAAACCAGTCTGTTACTCAAAACAGTGCAGTCAGTCAACATAAGCATTTATATTTACTACTGGTTAAATCATTGCCAACTGGTACTTTCCTCCTTTTTTTCTTCATTTCACTTTTCTGCTGGCCTTCCATGCCTTATTGCTTTTCAGTGCCATATGGGAGATTTCGTACAAGTAGACCTCACTTAGTGATGGCCTCAGCAGTTACAGTGATGATGAAAAAGTAACTTTGCAACCAATACCGGCATTTATGGCCTTCATGCATCAGTTTCAGTCATGTGTTCACCATTACAGTCAGTCAGTACATGTTGCACTATAAATGAAAAGGTTGCCTAAACAAACAATCTCTTCCATGAGCTGCTATAACTTCTCCCAAAAATGCTAATTGCAAGTTAACAAGCTTGGCTCTCTCATCTTAATTAGTTGGCTCCCGGCTGCTGCCTGTAACAGACAAGACTTTAATTAGGTTCACATCTTTAGCGTTTGTTTCAGTCTTGCACTATTCAGTGAGCTGCTAGGCATACAACTAATGCCAGTGCATGCCTTTGTATGTGTATGCCCCATTGTATGCCTGCTTACTTTCTTGTAATCCATTAATTCCCTTCTTGTGAATTATCTCAGTGCCAGGGTGAACATTCCAAAGATTGGAGGAGTGGGGAGAGGGGGCTATAAGATTTTCCCTTTTACACGGCTTCATCATGAATCAGGTTTTGGAAATCCTCCCACTGTTTGGGCTCACCCAACTGTTTGGCGCCATGTCCTTCTGTCAGTTTAAAGCAGACATGTCAAACACAAGGCCTGGGGGCTGGATGCAGTCCGCGAAGTGGTTTCATGTGGCCCGCGAAGCTATCCTGGAAACAGTGAGGGAACAGCCCCCGCTGCCTTGGCCCTGGCCTAGGCCGGCTGGGAGCCAATGTACAATTTTGTGGTGGCCATCTATGCGAAAACGCATTCAGTCTTAGCTACACAAGGCCGTCTCGAAACAGTGAGGAACCAGCCCCTGCTGCATCGGCCCCACCCCCTGGGTGCATGCTGGGGAGGTGTCACCCTTCATGAGGAATGAAGAAATGACCATGCCTTGGCGCTTGCCCCGATCCCACCCCCTTCTGCCAGAGACCCTCAGATCTGTCCCACTCCTGCCCAGGCCCCCACAGGCACCCTTGATGTGAACGATGTAAAGCTGGCCATGCCCACCCAGTAGGCCACATCCACTCCATCCACGCCCACCCAGTAGGCTGCACCCACCCGGCCCCCCAAGGGCAACCACAATGCTGATGCGGCCCTCAATGAAATTGAGTTTGACACCCCTGGTGTAAAGCAAAGGAAAGCTGAAGTAAAATCGTAAGCACAGTTGTGGACCCAAATATTTTACTTAGCAACCAAGTTGTCAATCTCAATTGTGAAAGCTAAATGAAGACTACCTGTATTGCAGGCTACAGCTCCTGCCAATGTGTTCAAGGTGTCTCTGGGATGTCGGGTCTTCCAGTACCTTCTAATCAATGTCCTATTGGCTAGGTGGGATTTCTAGTTTCCCTGATGCTATGAAACGGATGCCAGATCATCATTCTGCTGTTATTCCTGATCCATAAACAGGAGTCGTGAAGAAGAAGAGGCTCTGGAACAGGCACGTCGAGTTCACGAGGAAGCCCGGCGGCGTCAAGAACAGCAGCCCCAGCATCATCCCCAGGCTCAGCAGCAGGTGTCAGCTGCAGCCTCTGCTCCCCCGTCACAGAGCTCTCAGCCACAGGCTTCGCAGTCCATGCTGGACCAACAGAGAGAGGAACTCAGAAAACAAGAACAGGAACGAAGGCGCAGAGAGGCAGTAAGTGAAAGAGACTGGTGCCCTCTGGGCTTACAAAAGGTTCACAGTTGCATTGGCAAGAAAGGCTGTGCTCGGCAGTTTAGTTTTGAAGCCATTTTCAAAGTGCCAGAAATGTCAGCCTTTGTCTGAGTGTGACGCTAGGCTCTGGTAAATGTACCTCAACCCTACTGATCCGAATGGCACTTATTTTTCAGTAAAATAAACATTTTTGGGAATTGTGCAGGAAAACAAAATACACGTGCCCATCCCTAATATAAATTAGGCAAATTAAAATGAGTTTCTAGATCAGTGTTTCTCAACCTTGACCATTTTAAGGCATGTGGACTTCAACTCCCAGAATTCCACAGCCAGCATTGCTGGCCGTGGAATTCTGGGAGTTGAAGTCCACATGCCTTAAAATGGTCAAGGTTGAGAAACACTGTTCTAGATCCTTTTGAAGAAAGATCTCAATCTTTATTTGGAGGTTAGAACAGTATTTTATTGAATTTAGGGAAAAAAATAATAATTGTAAAGCAGGACTGGTAATACTGAGGGAATTAGAAAATTATTGGTAAATAATACTGTTACTGTTCGTTTAAAAGACTTTTATCTTTTTTACCTCTCTGATTTTTTCTCTCCAGATACCTACTTTTTCTTTTCCTTGTTTCTTATTTCTTTCAACTATTTGCTTTCCGTGAAAAACTCATGCTGTACATGCTACATATACATATACCTTCCACAGATATACATTGAAGTGTATCTGTTCTTTCTTCCAAAATATTGACCTTGCTCCCATTTCCCCTCCCCTTTTTTTTTTAACTCAGTCTCATAAATCTGGACCATCAGTTCTTGCAAGCTGAATCCCCTGCTGTTGTCACTTTATATCTCATTCTAGTTTCTTGCCTTTACCTTCTGTTTCTTTTTTCACCCCTTCACAGGCATTCCTCAGTATAATATGCTTTGTATTGTTGGCTTTCTTTTATAAGATAGGGAAATGATTTCTGATATGTGAGTGAGGCTTCCTCTTGGCCTCTGCTAATGTTAATCTGCATGATCACCTTTTATAAACGAGAGTTCTGGATCAGGTCGTTGCTATTACTGCTTCAGTCTATTGAGATACTTTTTTCCTGTGAACCCAGATGACTGCTGCATTTTTTTCTCTCTTTCCCTTTAGATGGCATCAACTATTGACATGAATTTCCAGAGTGATTTGTTGGCAATATTTGAAGAGAATCTTTTCTAATAGCACCTGGTTTTCTTCGCCTGAACTCCTTAATTTCCCAGCAAATTTTTGACTCTCCATAGTGTTGTTGGCAGCTGGGAGGAGAGCATTCCTGCAGCCTTTCTGCATGTGTGACGGTTGTGGCCTCAGAAGGATCAGCAGAGTCTGCCTTACGATTTGACTTAATTCCCACCCCCACCCCATCCCCCAACCTCACTGAAGAAAGCGAGACCAAGATGAGTCAACTCTGTACTAGGTTTGCATCAGTGGACACGCAGTTGCTGGGAAGGGTGCCCCCTATCACTTGATATTCTCTATGCCAAACCTACTTGCAGTATATCCAGAACTTGATGCTGTTTGCCCTTTTTCTATCCAAAAGCATTCTGAATTCCAGAATGTCTTTGACGCTACCGTGCTGTATGCTGGCAGCACCAGACACTCTGCATTGAGAGGCTGTGTACAGAAAGATCCCGCCTGGGCTTTAGCAGGGAAGACACACAAGCTGTTTTGGGTCCTTTCATCACTGGCTTTGCCTTTAACTAAACTTCCCACAAGCCTTTAGCTGGGAGCCATTCTCTGTAAGTGTTTGCTTGTGAAAAAGGGAATAATTTAGTGGAGGTGTCAAGTAAGTGTAACTGGCCATTTGAGTGAGGTTTTTGTTTTAGCATTGTGTGGATGACAGGAATCTGAGCTAGACTACCAACCAAAGTCAGTTTCTTTCAATCTGTTTCTTTTCCTCCAGATACATTGGCACTGCTCAACTCTTTGAGTAGATATTCTTGTCTCTTCATTACGGAGTGGAGTGGAGTGGGGAAAACTTAACACCAGGGGAAGCTCCCACCCTGTCAATAGTGTTTGACTGTGGCTGTATTGTATAGTGAATATAGTTGGCATATATTTGTTTGAGTTTTATGGTGAGCTCACCATACTCTGTAAAGACACTGCTTCTATTTTGCTCAGTTCCAGACTTTTAGTCTATATTTTTAACTGTAATACCAGAAAACTACATTTTGGGTTTTAAATGTCATGGAGTCTGTTAAAATTAGTTTTTATACACAACAGAGCAGCTCCGGGGAAGGAGATGGGAATGGATTTGGATTGGCAGGAAGGAAGACCTGTTCCTGTTGTCTTCCATTAAGTCCTTTCACATTTTAGCAGTAATCATTTTCTCAGCACTTTTAGCATATTCTTTTCATTTTACTCTTTCAAATGTTCCACGTTTATGTGCCATAAATACCCACTATACAGTACAATACTGGTGTGTCAGTATTGGCCAATCTCTGGAGTAATTAATTGGTTTTACTTTAATACGGTGAATATGCATTTGGTCTGTACTGATCATGGAATAAACTCATCTCTTTTTTTTTAAAGTTGGTGTCGTACTGACATTTCTTTTAAATCTTGCTTATGGTAAAATGGCTTAAGCGAGAAAGGCAGTAAGGAGACTTGTTCTATTCATCTGTCTTGTTCTAGCAGGCAGGGAAACCTCCAGCCAATTCATACAATTTTCATCTTATCACCAAGCTAGATAATATTTACCCTGGGACCAGTAATAGTGGAACAACAGCATTCTGTAGAAATGGTAGGAAGATGAACACCAAATATCAAGCAGTTAGTGTTTTCTCAGCATGGCTGGTTTCACACTGTAGCATCAAGCCAAAAATAGGGGAATAGCGCACTGATTGTTTTCAGTCTTGTTCCTGTTTGGGGTGAACCTCAGCATTCAATATAATTTCCAGCAATAAAATTTAGTCCAGCTTCCTGTGTTGTGCTAAATTAGGAGCGCTTGAACTATGGTAGGTGACCCTGTGAGGATCCAGATACAGTAGTTCACTTTTCTGCACTGTTGGTCAAAATTGGTATTCCAATATGAATTGCTGGACATGGATTTTCTAGTTCAGAGCTTGCAAATTGCCATTCTGTTGCTACTTCTTTTGAAAAAAACATGACTGCTTGCTTCAAAACTTCCATTGGACTAAGTAGTGGGTTTGGACTGTGAATTAAAGTTATTCAAAGCGCTTATTCTGGTCAAGAATGGTCTGGCTAGCTGCTATAGAGAAGGCAACTGTTCTCTGCCAACTTTATATTTGCACCCTCAGCCAAAGACATCTCTAGTTTTCCTGATGACACAAGTTTTGGAAAATAGTTCCTGTCCTGCCAACGTCTCAACTCTTCGTTTTCATGATATTGGACTACTGATTTCAATTGCTACACCATCTGCCCAATTTTATTATGCCTAAACTCATGCTAAGAGAGCAGAGATCCCAGATGGAGTAAAAGAAGGTAGCTATTTCTGTTGGTCAACTTCCAACAGTTATGCATCAGGAGAAATGGGGCACCTAAGAAAGTATTTATTGTCTCCAAATAGTATTGCCCTTAAACTTGCAATTTGCTTCAACATCATTCTCAGGTCTTTTTGTAGGAGTTGAATAATGGGACCTGCTACACAACTCCCAAGATCAAGTGATAGGTCATTTGTTGCCTGTTTTCAATCTAACTTGGCCTTGGCTTTCCAATGTGCAGTTAAATTAACACGCCTTTAAGCAGTTGGGAGTGCACAGTCACACATATTAATATACGTAACTCAGGTTAGTAGCCATGTACAGAAGAAATGAGACTGGATCTAGAGGCAAGTGTTTTCTTTGACATTCTTGTGAACAGCCAGTTCTCACACTGAATTTTTACCCAAAGGTGCCTTTTAACTCTACATCATTAAAAGATCTCTGCCTTTCTCCATAGAGTATTAGATTGTTGAAAGAGATAAATGGGAAGGCTTAGAAGGGACAATATTACCCCTCAGACAGCTTTTTCTGAAGGCTCCTTACTGAAAAGGATGTGCAATTAGGTATAGACCAGGCTTTCTATTATAAGAAGTTGGCTGTGCTTTCCTTCTTTCAGGGAGTTGCCAGTCTTGAGAAGGCCATGAAATGTTGTGCTTTGTCTCCAAACATAGTGATTTTGCGTCTGGAGTGGCTTAGACTCACGGCCAGTAACCACCCCTCAACATTAAAATGCAGCTGAGTGGTCTGAAAATCTGGACTCCTGAGGACCACACTCGGGCTTCAGATTACCTCTCGTACAGAACACCTAAATGTTCTGTTTCTGGACCAACATAAAGGTAGTTACCATATGCTGGATGGTACATGACACTAGTTTCCTCCCTTGATCTGCTTACGTGTGGGCATTACCACTTCAGAATCGGTGAAATGTTAGATCACCAGCTCACACAATTTCTTTGTGAAGGCTTAATGGTTGGGTTAGCCCTTAGTCTTCTATTTTATCCCAGGAATTGTCAGGAAAAAGGGGGCTTCTATCTCTGGCCACAGCTCAGACTTGAATGAAAATAAGTCCCTTGCATCCCGTTCTTGTCCCTGTGTTACTGCACACGTCTTTTTACCATGAGCTCATTAACTAGCCTTAATCTTCTCTTAGCTCTTGTTTAGATCCTTGATGAAGTAGGAACGTTAGTTTTCCTCTGAACATGTTTCTGATTCTTTCATTTTCATTGCCAAGTCATTTCTCACAGTATTCCTTGGCTTTCCATCTGTCCATCCCCTCTCCCCAGTCACCTCTTTTGCAAAGCACTTTGGATAAACATCTCCCTCCTTTAATTTTATGCTCAGGGTTTTTTGGGGTACTTTTAAGTGCACATCCGCTGTGAAAGTTGATCACGTACGAGCTCACTGCGATTGTACATAACAAAACTGCACCACACTGACAGAAGTGAAAACATAAAAGAAGTGGAGATGCTGGAACTTCTATCAAGAGAGAGCACCCTCTGTTGTAAAAAATTTAAAATAAATAATTTATATGTATGCAATGAACAAAAAAACCCCGTACCCCGTATCTAGTCATTAGCGAGGTTAGTTGTTTTTTTATTTTAACGTTTAAACCCTCTTTTTGCATTGAACATTTGCCAATCTTGTCTGTAGTTGACAGTTTCAAAACTGTGATAGCAGGGTTTTTTTTTCCCGCTTGGTGGCTTTCTCCGCTATCTTGTTCTTCCTCGCTTTCCTCTTCTGATCGTTTCTGTGTTTGGCAAACTTCTTGAAATGTTTACAGGCCTTCACTTATTTACTTTAATTTAAAAAAAACAAAACCCTGTACTTGGTCTTTGATTTTTATACATTTTTACATGATGAACATAGATGGTTATCATTAAATTGGAGACATATTTTTTTTTCTGCCAAAGGGTTGCTATTCTTTTTCTTTCTTTTTTTTGGCTATATGTGTGATTTATTTTCATTTTTATAAAATGTTTTGAGTTTATAATATGGTTATCATTCTGACTGACACCTATTTAATTTCCCCTTCTCCTCCCCTCCTCCATGTATAAGTTTAATATCTACAGAGTTTTAAGTGTAGGGGGTCTATCCTAAATGATGTAACCTTGGTTATTTTTTTTCCCTCCAGTCCTGTACAAATAAATAAATGAAATGTACAATTCCACTGTACTTAATGCACGGAACGCTTGGCAAATAATTATGTCAGTGAATTTGAAACTTGTATTAAACACTTTAGACATTTGTAGAAGGGAATTCATAGAGTTTTCACTTATATACTAAAGGTTTTTTTGTGCAGTTCTCATTGCAAAAATAAACATTTGTACTGAATATATGAAGTAAACTTTTTCCCTTTTATCTTTTGCTCTTTAGCAGCAAGATTTGGCTAAGACTGTATTGAATTATGGGTCCAAATATTTCAAGTCTTTGCCCATACTGAGATTTAATTTAAATGAGAGACCCACCTGGCCAAATCCACAAATCCAGACAGTAATAACATAACTGTATGAGAAGATTAGCATGGGAATGCAACAATACTGCTAGATTTAAAGATAGCATCCAGTGTTTGATGTAACATGGTGTATCAGTTAATTGACTACACAAAATAAAATTATCAGTATCATGTGATAAAATGTAAAATGTAGCCATAAACCCTCTAAACCGAAATTTCCATCATGCCATCTAATATGTTGGCTTTTTTGGCTAAACTGAATAAAAAGGTCTCTGCAATTTGCCTGAAACATTCTCATCTCAGGTGGGCAAACTGAGGTCCTGAAGCTGCAAATCTCCCATTCATTAAACTATGTTTTCCCTTCCTTGAAAAATAGGAAATGAGAAAGCTGCAGTGACGATAAAGCCCTTCAAAAGATAGGTGAAAATCCCAGTTCGTTTAACA